TGGTGGCCGACCCGCTGAGGGGACGGGGCGTGAGGTCAGAGCCGGGGCCCCGTCCCCTGGGGCCTCGCCGTGCTCCTGAGCGGCGGCGGCCTCTGGGGAAGGTGGCGACGGGGCTCACGATGTCCCCAGGAGCCCAGGCCCCGAGAGGCCGCCCGCCGCTCCCCAGGCCAGCCCTGCCCACCGTCGGACGCTTCCGTGCGTCCTGATCAGCTAGGAATGTCACACGGCGGCGTGGGTAAGAATTAAGTAGATGAAAAATGGAGGCTTTGTTCCAACACTGGCTAACGATCCGACAGAAATCTGTGGTCATGTGACCTCTGGCAAAGGAGGCGTGTGGCTTTCTTGGCTGCCCCGTGTTTTGCTGGATTAATGTAAACTGCTTTGTTTGCAGGGTTTATTGTCATCCCCAAACCAGGCCAGCTCTCCGGGCGGAACTGTAGTGTAGCGGCCCGCCCCTGCTCGAGAACCTTCGCCCCGACGACCCGGTCCCGAGGCAGCGACGGATGAGACAGGAGTGCGGACCCTCGCGGCGGCAGCCGTCACCTGGAGTCGCGTGCGAGGACCCGCGGGGCCCGCTCGGGAGGGCGCGCTCTGCCATTCACCCAAAGAGGCTGTTCCCGTTTTGGGGCTGCAGTAGAAAATAAGAAAGCGGATTTTCTTGCTTTTTACTCCGAAGTTCCGTGTAATTAAAATCTCATATATATCTGTATAATCTATACATACATATATATATAGTGTAAAATAAACTATTTCTTGGACAAGAAGTCCCCTTAAACTCAACTGTTACAAACAGTATTTCACTCTGTTTTTGCACTGATGTTTTTATACGTAGGTGGTCAGAGACAACCTGGAACGCACTCATGAAGAAAGTTGTGGCTTTCTGACTTAAATCTGTCATTCAGGAAGACGGATGCTGCAATCATAGTTTACAAATTGCACTTGAAATAGATTTTTAATGCTATTAGGGAATTACTTTAAATATGGGTCTCACAGACTCGCGGCCCTCCAGGGTGTTGAAGATGCTCTTTTTAATCTTACATTTATTTTAATACTGTTGTTTCCAAAGCCGTCAGCTCTGTATTATATGTATAAAATGATGTGATTGTGCTACTGGGGGACATGGTTACTTCACCAGTAATTTCCATCTTTTATGAGTGACATTTCTAATCATGAAAAAAATATTAATATTAAAACTATCTTGAATATACCATTGGTTTAGCTTCTGTTAAGTTGACTCAATTTTTACTGTGACTTTTTGTTCAATTAAAGTTTGGTGTAAAATGATTCGTCCTTTTTCCACCCTGTTCCTGGAAGCCCGAACCGGGACGGGCGGCTCGAGCGGGGCTCATCTGGAGAGTTCTGTGGCTCTCCGGCCCCTCCTTCCGGCTCCCGGCTTTAAGTCGCTGTCGTCGCTGACAGCCCGTGACCACACGTGCGTCGCGGCGTCTGCGGAGGCCGGGGTGCTCTGCTGCAGCGGGGATCCTCGGGGATGGGTGTCGGGCCGAGACCAGCTCGGGAGCAGCTCCGAGCAGAAGGCTGTCACTTGCACTGTCGTCCGCAGCGGCCCCCCGGGAGGCATTTTTATCTGGTGTGACTAAACCAAGAGGCGTCCGAAGCACAGCTCTCCAAGCGAGCACGTTAAATCGGGGCACGTCCCACGACCGAGGCAGGAAGCCGAGCGCACGCCCTCCGAGAGCCGCGCGGAGCCCCTGGGTCCCCGGGACAGGCGCCCTGGGGGAGGTGAACGCCAGGACATAGACGCCCTGTTGTCTCCAGCGAGAGAGTCAGAATTTATCAATCGTATACATTCACAACGACCTGCGTATTAAAACCGCACATTCCGATGGTCTCTCGGTCATGGGCCCCAAAGCGCTGGCTTCTAGGCGTGTCGGTGACACGGAAAACCCCGCCCACGCAGGCCCAGGGACACAGGGGCGGCCCACATGCTGCGGCAGGTCAGCAGAGGCCGCCTTTGAAAACGGAGTCCAGCGTTCGTCTCGTGACCCTCCGGGGCGGGCGGGCTCCTCCCTCTATGACGGGACAGGTGGAAGTCTGGTTGGCACGAGGACCGCGTCACGAGCGTTCAAAGTCGAGCTCGGGCGGGTCGGACGCCCCGCCGTGCTCCCCCCGCCTCCGCATCTCTCAGGGCGGGCGGCCCTGGCTCGGCCCAGGCTCTGGAGCGAGGCCGTCGGGTGGGCCCCGACTCGCTGTCGACGCATCTGCACTGGGAACAAATCTACGGCTCCTGCAGCAAGTGGCCCAAGGCGGCTTCCGACATCAGACCGCCTGTAACTGCCCCCCGCGCCCCCCCCGGGCGTGCAGCCCCCGGCAGCCAGGCCACCCCGCGAAGCCAGGGAGGGCGCAGCCCGACTTGCACGTGCTCTTACGCGCTGCCTCGACCTCCCGTCCGTGTTTGGGGCTGGTGGAGGCGCGCTGCGGGGACGGGTCTACGGGAAGCTGGGAGGAGGCGGGTGCTCCCGGGCGAGTCAGCGAGCTTGCTGGCTGCCTCGCGGCGGCCGGGGGAACGGGGCAGGCCCGGGAGCGCCCTCTGCGCCGGGCGGGGGACGCAGGGAGCAGCAGTGCCCCCGTCGCTTGGGTGGCGTCCCCGCTGCCGCTTCTGCTCCACAAGCAGGTTCACACGCTAAGGTGCTGTCAGAAGTGGGACCCTCGGACCAGCGCACCAGGCCACCCCTCTGCCCCGGGAGCAGCTTGCGCGCCCTCGGGCTGAGAGCAGGAGGCCCGGTGGGTGAGGAGCGGAGGCTGGGGCACCAGGCAGGTGCTCAGTAAACGCTGTGCAATGAGCCGACCTGACAGGGGCGGGGCGGGGGGAGCAGGACTTCGGCCCCACTTCCCTTCTGGAGCTTTGTCCCTCAGGAACAGCCTCGCCTGCAGAGGCTCAACTAGCCTTCAAGTCTCCTTCACCACCTTTCCAGTCTGCAGTGAGCGGACACCCACCAGGGCTCTGGCAGCAGGCGGAGGCGGCCTCCCAGCTCAGGGCCTAGAGGCCGGACACAGCCGGAGCCATTCCAGCTGCCCGGGGACTGGCTCCCGCGCTGAGAGCGGGTGGGGGGCCGCAGGGAGGGCGAGCGTGGCCAGAGTACCCCCCCTGCCCCTCCTGGAGGCTGGTGCACAGGGCTGGACCAGCTGTGCCCGCTGTGGGGCCCGGTGTGGCCGGGCTCCGGGCTCCGGGCTGACGGCTTCACAGCACTTGTATTCCAGAGACCAACGGGAAGCCAACAGCTTCATCAGGTGGACAGGTCACACCACCCCCCAAGGGCCTGGCCTGCCCCAGAGAGGCCCTCCACGGGGAGGAACAAGTCTGCAGGAGAACTTTAAAGATTTTCCCCTCAAATGTTATACACTTAAAGGGGTAACAATTTTCCTAAATACACAAATGCTGGTCAGTCCTTAAATGTGTCCTTAGGGCCCGTCCTTGAGGACAGGAGCATGCCCCCCTGAGTCGCTGCCCCTCAGGGGCCTGGTTTTCCGGCAGCCTCCCCTGCCTGGGGTCAGAGTGTGGGCACACTGGTCGTGCAGGGCCCTCTTTGATCCCAGAAGCCCGCTCCTGTCGCCTCTGGCCGCCGGTCTCCCTGGTCTTCAGCTGCTGAGCCCCAGCACCACCTGGCTCTGGCCTCCTCCCTGCCTCAGCTCCCAGGGGACCCGGAACTTCCAGATCCTCCGCGGAGGCAGAGTGGCGCCCTGCTTGTCCCTCAGTGCCCCCCTGCCACAACAGGGTGTTAAATGGGTTCAAAGGAAGCTCTTTCCAGCCGCTCCTCATGTGCACCCAGCTCTGAACATTCCCGAAGCCTTGTTTCTGGTCTTGAATCTGCCCCTCTTGGGCTCCTCGGCCCCCATGTGGCCCACGCCGTCTCGCACTCACCTGCACCCCGCCCCTGTAAATGCTGGCTCCCGCCTGCCCCTCCTGAGGCTGCTGTATCCACCCCACAGCTGGGCCGACCTGGGACTCCTGGTTCTGCTTCACCGCCTGGCAGGTGGGTCAGAGGTGGTGGCCACTGGAGAGCATGTGGAAGAATGTCACAGATTTGTCTTAAAAGAGGGAACAAGATTTCCCCGATGCCAAGTGATGTTGGGAAACAAGAAGGGGCGCCTGGGTGGCTCAGTTGTTAAGCGTCTGCCTTCGGCTCGGGTCATGATCTCAGGGTCCTGGGATTGAGCCCCGCATCGGGCTCCCTGCTCCGTGGGGAGCCTGCTTCTCCCTCTGCCTGCAGTGCCCCCTGCTTGTGCTCGCTTTCTCTGTCTCTCTCTCTCTGTCAAATAAATAAAATCTTAAAAAAAAAGAGGGAACAAGAAGACAAAAACTAACCTGGGAAATTTTCTTTTTTTTTTTTAAGATTTTATTTTTACTTATTTGTCAGAGAGAGAGACAGAACACAAGCAGGGGGAGAGGCAGGCAGAGGGAGAAGCAGGCTCTCCGCCAAGCAAGGAGCCCGATGTGGGGCTCGATCCCAGGACCCTGGGATCATGACCTGAGCCAAAGGCAGCGGCTTAACCGACTGAGCCACCCAGGTGCCCTGTAATTTGCTTTTTCTTAACGTTGTAAGTTTGTGAAGGCGAGGAAAAGAAGGGGTCATTACGCTACATCCCAAGACAAAAACGGGCTCAGGAGGGTTTGGCGTCTGCCCAGCGGGCGGGCCAGCAGCAAAGCAAAGCGCCGACAGGAAGCCGCATCTCTATTCACAGGCGAAGCTGGGCCTCCGGAGCTAAGGCGAGGTGGCCGGCGACCGCGGGGAAGCCCGGCGCTCCGACGTGCCTCATGCTTGGCAGCCTCGTCCCGCTGCATCTCCCCAGGGTGCCAAGGCCACGGAGCACCCTGGCCGAGCCTCTCTTTAGTCCTTACTGGCTTTTCGCGGGCCACAAAATTAAGCTGTACCAAACAAAGCTTTCCCAACAAAATAAATTCCCCAAATGTGCTCACAAGACCTAAAATAAAGAAATGCACGTCAGGACACATGTGTAACTCAGAAAATACTAAAATATCGTACTGACAGCTTATTCTTTAATAAAACTCCGACAGATCTGTGAGCTGTGACGCACCATACGGTATTGGTGACGTACCGAAGAAGGCGCGGTGCGCAAAGCCCACGGTGAAACCAAGCCTAAATAATACAGTATATAAGTTCTCATTTCTGTTTTGATTCATATAAAAAATTACAAAATATGCTCTGCCCCAAATTCCTAGGTTACAAGAATGAAACAAAAGCCCAGAATGAGGTGATTTTACAAACGTATTCGACAGGAACATACGGGACCTCTGCTCTCAGGATGCCAGGTGCTGCAGGCTAGGGGCTCCAGGCCAAGTGGGTGCTGGCTGGCCTGTGGGGCAGTGGTCTCGGGGGGGGCCAGGGCTCTGCGAGGGGGACACGCCAGGCCTCTCCCCGGAGCCCCCCATCCGAGGCTCGGCGGCAATCCGCGGGGCCCGGCCCTGCGCACCTGGTCTCATGCTCCCGGCAAGAGAGCCGGCATGGGCTGCTCAGTAGCCTCCGCCCTTCCTTTCGATCGTGGGCAGGCGATACTGCTTCAGGCTGGGCTTACTGTCCTTCTGCGCGTCCGTCTGTTAAAGAGAACAGCAGATGCTCAGCGGGGCCGGGCCGGGCCGAGAGCCGTGGGCTATGGGGAGCTAGCGCGATGGGCTACCTTCTGGTTGGCGCCAACACACTTGAGGGGCCTGAGCACCGGCACTTTCCTGTTGGCCCCCGGGCCGAACACGGAGTGCAGCACGGGGCTGGAGTACGAGGACAGTTTGGTCCCTCCCGAAAGCTTCAGTCTGGGCAGTTGCATTAGGTAGGCCGGTCCTGGTCTCTTGGGATGGTCCTCCTCTGGCTTTAGGGACTGTTTCTTGAAAAAAACACAGGTCAGTTGAACGTACAATGGTGTCCCCTTCATAGAAACTAGGAAAAACACAAGAGGCTCTTTTGCACAACTTTCGCCTAATGGAACTTGACCAAGAGGTGTGACCGTATGGTGACCAGACGGTATCCTTGCCACCCAGGTGACGCGCTGCTCATCGGAGCATCCCCCCTGGGGGAGGCAGAGCCTCCACACTGGAGTCTGGGGCCTGGTTCTCCCCTGCAGGGCAGCCGACTGTAGCCGGGCCTGACGCCCGGGAGGCCACTGACACGGTCACGGCAGCGTTCCATGGGCCATGGCGGCGCTGGCGGCCCTGCTCGAAGTCCAGAGGTCGGCCAGATCCGCCCGCACTGTTGCTTTAGTGTGACGGGTGAGCCAAGAATTTTTTTTACCTTTTTTTTTTTTTTTTTCTAAAGATTCTGTTTATTTATCTGAGGGGAGGGAGAGAATCTCCAGCAGGCTCCCTGCCGAGCCCGGAGCCCGATGCGGGGCTTGATCCCACGACCCCGAGATCACGATCTGAGCCGAAGCCAAGAGCTAGAAACTCAACTGAGCCACCCGGGCACCCCTGCATTTTTTAACAGTTGAATCACAGTGTCCAAAGTTTTACTGGGACAGAGCCCCACTGTTCGTTTACGGTTCGTCCATGGCACCAGAGGGCAGCTGTGATGGGACCTCATGGCCCACAAAGCTGGGAAGGCCTCCCAGGTGGCCCCTCCAGACACGGGGGGACTGTGGTGGGTGCTGGCAGGAGTGACGCAGTCAAATGTCTCACTGGAGGGAAGGGCTGAGCAGGGACAGCAGTTGGGAGGCAAAATGAGGGAGGCTCAGGTGACTGGGGAGGAGGGTGTCACCGTTCGGGGCCTGAACAGCTGAAAGGGAGCTGCCTCTACCCTTAAAGGGAAGGCGTGGGGAGAAAAGCAGATTTGGGGGGAGAGACCCGGAGATTGGGTCTGAACCACTCGGCCTATTGGCCAAATGGAACGATCAGACAGGGGGCTGAACACAGCAGTCTGGAAGTCCGGAGAGCAGCTTGGCTGCAGATACGTCGGTGACCTCAGCTCCTAGCACGAAGTGACACGCAGCAGATGCTGGGATGAGTGACGGAAGGGCACAGTCACCACATGGTGCAGTGCCAGCCCCCACGTGGAGCTGGGGGGAGCTGAGCAGTGGGGACCATTTGGGGCGTTCAAGGATGAAAAGACTGCAGAGGGAAGCTGTTGTTTCTAAAGCAAACAGTGTGTGCCCAGGCGAGTCCTCAACTGGGGCCTGCTGCACGTGTGGGGACCTGTCACTGGCTCGCTGGGTCACGCAGGTCGGTTTAGCTTCTCTGTGCTCCCTGCTAGGGTCAGTCGGAGGACACAGGGAGGTGACAGCTGCCAAGTGCTTTGGCAGGGAACCGGCCCCTGCGTGTGGGAGAATCCCGCCTGGCCTGGCCTGCACACACGGGACGCTGCTGTCCCCGCTAAGCTAGGGGGAGCAGAAGGGCAGGAATGATCGAGCCAGGCTCCCCGCGTCCTGGCACACAGAGACCTCAGGGGCACAGGGTCAGGCCTCGCTGACCGGTGGGGCCACCTGGCCTGCCATGGGGGGACGTCCTCCGCAGAGACATGGGCCACCTGAGGGCATCCAGTCCCAGCTACAAAGGCCATTTCCAGCTCCCTCACTTCACTCAGTACCTTTCTGTCCTCCTTTGAAGTGTGCCAACTGTTACTGAGAAGTTCCGATGCCACAGGGCGCTCTGGAAAGAAGGCTTTCCTGCGGCTGGCCAGAGCGTGCTTCTCAGCCGCCCTGCAGGGGAGGAGGAGAGAGGGCGTGTTCCCCTGAGAGGGTGCACAGCATGACTGCATGTCCCTCTCCTCGTTCCCAGGCTGGCCTATCCTGTGTGCTCACTGCCTCTTCCTTCCCACGTGAACTGTGGGCACGGGCCTGCCACGGGCCTGCAGCCCCCACGCTCACCACCACGCTCACCCTGGCAGGAGTGCCCCGAGGTGCAGCTCCTCCCATGCCAGGTACCAAGGTGCCCCCAACCCCACAGCGAGCTCCCCCTGCTGTCACTGCTGCGCGCCAGGCCCCTCCTGGAGTCTTAACCACCGGAGCCTCGGCATCAGCCTCAAAACAGCCACTGAGCCCTCCTCGTGCCCTGCCGAGGGCCACTGACCGCCTCCTCCTGGGAGGCCACACCAGAAAAGAGTGAGGGGGACATCTCGGGGGCACCCAAGTTCAGGACAGAGCTGCTCCCGGACCCACCCGCCCCCACTCATACCCCCCAGGCCTCAGCGGCACCACCTGCCGCCCCCCCAGAGCTGCACGGGAGCCCACCTCTGTTCTTGGAAGTACGGATGCTGCAGGGCCTGGTGGGCAGTGATTCTCTCATCAGGATCATAGGCCACCATTGCATGCAGGAGGGAGAGGCATTGCGAGGACAGATTGGCTGTCAATTGAGGTATTCCTGATCCCTTTTTAAAAGGAAAATCAAAACTCATAGCTCTCGACCTGTATTAAAAGCCCAATGATAATAAACGATCATGCCATTATTTAGAGCACTTGGCCAGCCATCATTATGATTCTACAGGGCCCTGCACCAATGACAGTTTATGCTCTAAGAAGGGGTGTGACTACGCAGTCGTCCAAACCCAGAGAATGTACGGCAGCAGAGGGACCCCTCATGTGAGCTGCGGACTCGGGGTGATGATGATGTGTCAGCGTGGGCTCATGGGGGAACCAACACGCCACCCTGGTGTGGAGGGTCACGGTGAGGGAGGCTGTGCAGGCCCCCAGGTGGTCTATGGGGAATCTCTGTACCTTCCACTAAGTTTTGCTCTGAACCTGAAATTGCTCTAAAAAATAAGTGGGGCGGGGGTGTGTGTGAAATCTGTTGTGCTATCAATGTAAGAAAACGACTTTTCCCCGAGAGGACTAACAGCACGTTCTTACCTGAGAAGAAAGAGATAAAACTTAAAAGGAGGAAAAGGAAGAATCCGTAACAGTTGTCTCTCCTTACCTTCCCTAGGCCCAGGAGCTGCCCACCCGCTGCCCCACGGGGCTCTCCCTCAGAAGCCCCAGCTCCCCAGATTCAGCTGGCTCTCCGACCAAAACCAAACCCTAACCAGTCATGGTCTGGGTGTCAGTGTCGCCTGCAACGGCCACACGAACGCCTCACCACGCACAGCCTGTATGTGGGAACCTTTTCCGCCCAAAGGTCTCTCAGTCTGGGGTAAATATTCGGAGGACAAAACCTGACTGCCAGGCCCTCAGCAAGACCATCTGAACTCTTCTGTGCTGCTGGAGGGAGCGCGCCCCTGGCAGGACCCCTGGGGGACCACAGCCCCGAGCAGCTGCCGCATTGCCTCCCTTCAGCGGCAGCGGGGACCCAAGCAGATGGAGGGCCTACAAGGGTAGGAGAGGCGCAGCCTGGGCCCCTCGGCTGGCTGCCACCACCAGCCTTGGCAGGGGGCAAGTCCACACGGGACTCTTGGGCACACGCCGCACTTACTGTTTGAACTTGGTGAGGGTCTTCTCAGCAGGGGTGCCGATGACATCGTGGATTTTTGAGATCTGGTCCAGCTCGTTGGCTCCGGGGAAGAGGGGCTGCAGACTGGAAGAGCAGGACGGCGCTGTGGTTAGAGCAGACCACAGCTTCTTCCTCCCAATGTCCCCTTCTGCTGGGTGGCTAGCTCACACGGAACCCCGAGGACACAATCCCCCGGGTGTGGTCCTCCTCGCAGCTACGGGCTTTCCATTCCCCTTCGGCTCAGGCCTGTTTCTCCTTTCCCAACAGGGGGGTGTCATCCTAAGAGACGGCCACATTCCTCTCTGTACACCCTGAGATCTCCGCGGCAAGACATGTCACCTCCATAAGTCTCCTGTCACAGGGGAGGTTTTCCAACAAAAATTCAGGGTGGGTTGGGTCTGGTTTTGGTGACAAATGAAGTCCAAGAAACAAAGTTTTGGTTCTTGGAGCTTTTACGGATTTTGGAATCGTGGATGAAAGATTTTAGGCTTACATAAATAAATGCAATTCACATGACAAGCCGCAAAGAAGAGTCTAGAACAGCAGCTCCGCATAGGAAAGCAGCCATGGCTACGGGAGACAGGAGGAAAGCCCGGGCAGGCAGGGAGCAGCTCCGACACTTGGGAGGGGGCGCGGGGGAGGGCCAGGGTTGCTGGGGTGTGTGTGGCAGGCCCCCCACAGGCTGCCCCGCACGCTGGTGAGACACCACCAGCCATCACGTCCTCCACACTCAAGTCCTTTACCACCCGCAGGGATTGTAGCGCAGCAGAAAGGACTGTCAGTACTTGAAGCTCAGTGAACGTGCCCCTCAGCTTTCCAAAAATAACAAGCCGATTACCAATAGGTGTGTCCTGAAGGACACGCATGTCCGTATTTATGAAGTGGGCAGCTGAGCTGGTGAGAGCAGACGACCCGGCTCCCCGCCTACGATGCATATCACCCAGATGTTAAATTCACCTGCTCGTCCTTAATTGTCCACTCCAAGCAAGCGAACGCCGGCCCACCCGCTCTGTGTGAAGCTACAAAGGCTGGGGGGTGTGGAGGCCGGGGAGGAGGTTAGAACTTGGGGCTTTCTAGAATCCAGCTGTGCCACAAGGTGACCCATCCTCACACTTGTGACCAGAGCATCCTACTTGATGGATTGTCTCTCTTAGGGTAGGTCCCAGGAGCAGGGGCGCTGCTCACATATCCCCATGGCAGGCCCCACAAGGTGGCAGTGAGCACGTTTCTACTGTCCCTGAACTCACGAATCCATCATTTCACTGATGAAGCCAAATGGGGAGGCCTGCCGGCCTACGGCCAAGTTATGCCAGTAGGAAAGAAGTAACTGATACTATTCTGCACTTTGTGACAAGCAAACAAGGAAAAGTACTTGACAAAAAGGAAAATGAAAGCCTGGTACGTTTTCTGTCAAGTTAAACAGTCACATGGGCAGGACGACTGTAAAGTCTGTCTGGTAAAGGAAGGGCCTGGCCCGAAGCCACGCGGTAGGTAGGCCGAGCCTCGCCATGTGGCCTGCGTCAGGACATTTGCACGGAGGCCCGCCAGCACCAGCAGGGGTTTTCCGACACAAGGCGGCCCCAGCTCTACCTAGCGATCTCGTAGAACACGCAGCCAGCGCTCCACAGGTCCATTTTGTAGGTGTAGAAGCCGTCGGTGAGGAGACACTCTGGGGCGCGGTACCAGCGGGTAGAAATGTACTCTGTGTAGGGCTGCTTGGAATAGACACTCCGGCAGGATCCAAAGTCCCCTAACTTCAGGACATCCTGCTGCAGGGACAAATGACATCTCATCAAGCAGCTGTTATAATACAGACCACTTCAAATAGTTATGCACCAACGGGAAAATGACTAGCATCGAAACTAGCTTATAAAATACAAATTACTTCATAAGCACCCGCAAGCGCCTCTAACCGATAACAAAGTGGTGTTTCTATTCAGTGGGATACGTTTACAAATATTCTGGCTGTTTTACAAATATTTCCAAATGTCTACAGGTTTTGGAAAATTTTAAGTCACAGCTTGAGTCTTCAAACGCATTAAACAAACACCACAGTGGTTCGTTTGTCTCTAACTTCCCAACAGGCCGGCTCTGCTGGCAACTTTGTTCTCCACTGAGGGGTGGGGGGCCGGCTCTCTGGAGCCATGGGTTCTTTGGAGCAAATCAGACAGACTGGGGAGACACGTTTTGGGATACCTCTTCAATTTTGTTTACGCCTCACATTCAGGTAATAACATACAGGCCATCAATAAATTTGGAACCTCTGGTACCTACACCTGCAGCAAACGTTCAACACAGCATGTTCCCCAGCCAGGTTATCGAGAAACTTCATTCCAACGGCCTTTCACCTGATCCCATTACCCAATGCATCATGTCGGACCTCCAACAAAATTGTAAGGTGTGTTAAAAGGCAAGAAAAACAGTCTGAGAGACAAAGCAAGCATCAGAACCAGTTTCAGATGTGGCACAGATTTAAGAATTTTGGAATTACCAGTCAGAGAATTTAAAATCACTGTGAGTGATCTGTTAAGGGCTCTAGTGGAAAAAGTAGATGATGGGAAAGTTCAGATGGGAAATGCAAGCAGAGAGATGGAAACTCTAAGAAAGAATCCCAAGGAAGCACTGGAAATAAAAACCACTGCAACAGAAATAAAAATGACTTTGATAAGCTCATCCACAGGCTAAACAGTCAAAGAAAGAATCCGTGAGCTGGAAGATGCTCCAACAGAACCTTCCAAACTGAAATGCAGAGAAAACAAATAATGGCAAAAACAGAGAAGAACAGCCAAGAACCGTGGGACAACTTCAAAAGGTGTGGTACTCACACTACAATGTGGACAAACGTCAGAATGATGACGCTGAGGGAAAAATCCAGACCAGGAAAGAGCACATACTATAGATGCCATTTAGAGAACATTCCAGAAAGTGCAAACTAATATATAATGACAGAAAGTCAGTCTTTGTCTGGGGACAACGGACAGGAGGGACGACCGAGGAGCACGAGGAACCTTCCCGGGGCGAGAGCTCTGCTTGCTTGGCTGTGACAACGGCTTCGTGTGTGTACACATATTCCCAAACTTACTGGGCTGCAGGCTTCAAGTACGTACAGTTGACGTGGCTACGGACTGGGACAGACCTGAGCGCAAATCCTGACTCTTCTACTTTCACATGCACAGTGTTTGGAGGGATAATATGAATGGAATTTATTTACCTATTATTTTTTTTTAAGTAGTGTCTACACCCAACATGGGGCTTGAATTCATGACCCTGAAGTCACACGCTCCACTGACTGAGGCAGCCCAGCACCCCTGGGGTTGATTTTTGCCTATAGTAAGAGAAGAGTGCCTAAGATAATTTCCTTCCAGATGTACAGTTGTGTTGATGGCGCTTATAAAATAAACCACTTTTTCCAACTGGGAGAAAACAACAGCAGCATAACCAACATGGTGCCCAACTATCTGGGATTGAAAGCCTATCTAGTAAAAAGGTTTCCCATTCTACCTTTCTTTGATACCATTTTTTTTTTATATAGAAGTTCTTACCTTTATTAATATATTTTCTGGCTTTACATCTCTGTGAAATATTCCATTTCTGCATTCAATATAAAAGGAAGGATAGAATTAATTTGTGCCTCATTCAAATTCTTTTACATTGAATTTTTAATGAATGTGAATACGTTTTATCAATTTGAGAGATGCCAAGTCTCCAGGAGCGTACCTGTGCATATGATCAAGGGATTTACATAACTGGTACATATAGTGCATAATCTTTTTTTCTGACAATGGGTGTCTTCTCCCTGTGCGATCAAGGAAATTGCCAAATATGCTTACCAATGATACATATCCCATTTTTTAAAAACATAAATAGAATCCAACAATTTTATTTAATGATGTGTGAAAATCTAAAAAACCTTTAGTAATTTCAGGAAATATGGACTGTACATACTAAATACACCATTTAAAATTCTACATACTGGCATGATTTCATGTAAAATCCCCCATGCACGCATTCTGATCACTACAGTAGTACTAAGTAATAAGCACCAGAGTAGTTTGGTCTGATAAACCCCACTCGAGCCCCCCCCCCCACACACACCAGCGCAGGCCTTCCGGAACACGCCCTTTCGAACTGTTGATTATGAAGTGTCAGGAGTCACTTGAAAATCCAGGGTTTTCCTCAGCTTCCAGTCTGGATTTTTTTTTTTTTTTTTTTAGATTTTATTTATTTGAGACAGAGAGAGAACGAGCATGCTTGAGTGCAAGTGGGGAGGAGGGACAGGTTCAAGCAAACTTCACCTCACACGACCCTGAGATCATGACCTGAGCCGAAACCAAGAGTCCATGCTCCACGGACTGAGTCACCCAGGTGCCCCTGGAGATTTCCATTTTAAAGGGGGAGGGATCACAGTTCCACAGAAGTGTGTTCGTAATGGAAGAAGACCCAGGATTGCTTTGCATTTCACAGCCCACTCTCCTCTGAGGGGAAGCAGCCATCGTCTGGCTTCCATCTGCTCACGCACACCGGCTCACCAGGCCTGGCCGCCTGTGGGGTCTTACGTCCTACAACTCTTAACACCACACTCCAGCATCACGGTTATCCTTGTTTCAGAAGATGTCACATTTTACTTGATTTTAACTTCCAAAGGTGTGCGTTTTTATTAAGTTCTAAATCTGAAAAACAACCATTCTCTCCTAACAATCCAGAAAACCACTTTCCTCTCTGTAAGCGCATATCCTATTTGACATTTTTGCTCCTAAGTTTGCAATTTCTGTTGACAAATAAATTTATTCTTCTTCTCTCACTAGACAAGAATGTTTTGTTTTGTTTTTTTAAAGATCTTATTTATTTATTTGACAGAGGGAGAGACAGCGAGAGAGGGAACACAAGCAGGGGGAGCGGGAGAGGAAGAAGCAGGCTTCCACTGAGCAGGGAGCCCGACTCGGGGCTCGATCCCAGGACCCCTGGGATCATGACCTGAGCGGAAGACAGACACTTAACGACTGAGCCACCCAGGCGCCCCAAGAATGTTTTCTGTTAATAGAAAGTAATTTAAATTACAAAATGTTTAAGTACAATTAGCTTTTTCATAATACTGTAATCTTTTTATTGTTTCAAATAATTTATCACCCACTTTCTGGAATTTAAAAGAATTAAATGAAGACTTAGTCATCTTTCCCTAACTTGAGTAATTCTGCAACTTTATATTGAATTCCTATCTGTATAAAGATGAAAAGAAAGCAAAATTTCTCCATCACATGTGCCGTTGGATGAAGCTTCCTGAAATCTGGTTCTTGTCCTGTGATGGGGTCTCACTGCCCACTGAATTAGCCCGGCACTCGGGAACCCCTTCCTCCCAACCAGGGGCTCTCAGGCTCCAGGGGCAGCTGAATCCCCTGGGGGCTCGTGAAGACACAGGATGCCCCCCTCCCCCCTGCCCCTAGGCATTTGGGGTCCAGCAGGTCTGCCTTAGGAATAAGTTCCCAGGCGCGGCTGCCAGGCCTAGACCCTCACTCTGAGAACCACGCCCACCACATCCCTGTTTACTGAATGCTCCAGCCACATTCACCTGCGGTGATCATCTGCACATGCCTCCAAAGCTCTCCTGTTTCATGGCTGTGCTCAGGCCGTTCTGTTCTAGGAGCACCCGTCCCAGCCACCCAGACCTCACAGCATAAACTGGTCAGGACAGTCATCTGAATTTGCACTCAGGAAGGTGGACGCTTTTAGGGAAAGTCTAACCCACCTAATCATCATCCTCACCTAGGGATGCTTTAAAATGGCAATTCCCATGGAGCGCCTGGGTGGCTCAGTCGAGTAAGCCTCTGATTCTTGATTTAGGCTCAGGTCATGATCTCAGGATTGTCTACTTGTCCCTCTCCCTCTGCTCGTGCGTGTGTGCTCTCGCCCTCTCTCTCAAATAAAATCTTTTAAAAAAATAAAATGGCAATTCCCAGCTCCAAACCCAGACCTAATGAGTCACAAAACCAAATATATGGGCCAGGAATCTGCATTTCTCGGCTGCCCTCAGTCCCCAGTGAATGAGCCTCTTTGGGTGCTGACCCTTCCTTTCCTCTTTGTTCCCCCCACACACACCCATTCATAGCCCTGCAGGTAAGGACGTGGCTTCCCCCGCCCCCATGCCCCTCTGTGAGAATCTCTGCCTTCATGAGGGGGCTCCTGAGGGAGCGAGGTGCAGTGTGAACTGTGTGGGACCTTGGTCTCAATAATTGCGGAGTCCACACCCTTGACCAAGAGGGGGTTGCCTACCCATTCTCTACAACGGTTTTTCAAAAACAAGATCCTAACTTTCCAGGCCCGAGACTCTATCTGGTTCCTAACAGATTCTTGTTCTCAAACATCTTGAAACAAATAGGAGAATTAATAAACCACTCGTAAGCTCCTGTGTGAGTCTTCCTAAACACCAACAGACCATGAACAGCGCCTCCCGACCAAGTTAATTTTTGCAAGCGAATTTTTTAACCAAATATCCTCGTTTAGAAGATTCTACACAATGCCATATACAACACCTGTAATGTAAAAAATATTTCCAGGAACACAATGATAAACTGCGGCATTTGTTGCTGGGACTAACTGAAGGAATGTGGCCACCAGGGTAGTCTGCACTGGAACAGAGTATCTCACACACAGCCCTTCCCACAAGAGACCCCATCTGCAGGCCTGTGCCAGGCTCTCCCGCTCAGGCTTGGAGGGGCATGCTGGGTCCAGCATGGCACAGGCAAATAAATGGTCTACCACACACACCTTGGCCCAGAGGCTGTGCCTACGGCACCAGGCATGCACACACTTGCCACAGCACCTTCCAAAGGAGAAGTCCGCATTATGGCACACCGATCTGAGGTTAAAGACCCTGCCCTGCAGGGGGTCGGGGGGAGGCAGGATGTCAGCCTCAGCTGGAGCCTGAGCCATCCCCCCCCCGCACCCCTCCCTTTCAACCATGGCAAAGCTCAAGGACAGGTCCTCCAGCTCTGCTCTATGAAACCAGTTCATCCTCAGCAAGTGCTGGGACTTCTGTGAAATTCCACTTCCTCACCTCTACCACGGAGGCGAGCACACGGGACAGGAAGCCCAGATGGTCCTGCAGAGCACGCGCACTAAGCAAGGTTAACATAATACTAACGAGGAGGAGGACAGCAATCTGCGTGTACTGAAGACTGTGCAAGGGGCCACTGGTCGAAACATGGCGCGCATTACTTTACTGGCCCCCCACAACCCCCCGAAGAGTTAGACTAGGATCATTCCCTTTCACAGACAAGGACCAAGGCTCACGGGCCTGACCCAGAACTGCCGTCCTCGAACACGCAGGACAAGGGCGCTCTGTGCTGCGGCCACACAGCCAAACTGTAGCCACACTTCCAGAAGCAACAGCATCAAAACTAACAGGATGGCGGCGTGGGCTTGGAAGAAAATTCCAGCAACAAAAAGGCCGCATCGTTCACACCCTGTCTGAATGGCGTAAGGAAAACAAAGACATCGATCGCTGCGTCAGAATGTTCCGAAATGTTTCAAATAAACCACCCAGGGCCGCTAGTGGTGTGGCTGGTGCCCAGGCGTGACAGCTACCTCACTCCCTTCCGTGAAGGTTCTTCCCAAGTGAGTGGCGGGCAAAACACCCTCGCCTCCTCTTTGTTGGTCTCCCCACCCCCATTCTTGCCCTCACGGCTCACAGCGCAGACCCAGCCCAACCCCGATCTCGCAGGCTAAGTGTGAAAGCCCAGAGCAATGCTCTTAGGGTTGCTTGTAGCTGGGAGCTCCAGATGTGATTGGTTCTGCCTAAATCAGACCACCCGGGGAAGAGGATTCAGGCCCGAGTTACGGGGGCAGACGAGCGAAGGGAGAGCATCCAGTGTGAGCGCAGATGGTGGTGAAGGCGGCTTCCTGACTGTGCAGAGGCAGTAGCCTCCCTGACAGCTCAATCCTGCAGAACCGTTTTTGGAAGCTGCTTCCTGGATGCCACATCCAGAGCGTCTCTTCAGCGTCTCCCAGCGACTCTGTGAAGCCATCCGTATCCATACACCCCTTGGGGTTAAACTGGCGAGAATAGATGCTGTTGTTTGCAGTTAGAAGAGATGACCAATACGTCCACCTATGGCCCATTCACTCTTTAAACATTCTTTCAACAGAAACATCCTTTCAAAAAGCATAGTCCATGAACTGATACTGGTCCAGGGGCTGTTTGTTACTGGTTTAAGAGATGACAAAACTAAGAGCAACCGGGAACTTTTATGGCAATTCAACATTGCTGGGACATCCAAGCACATCATCGTTTTTCCAGTATCTAATTTTTATGTATTTTACAAAAGTTTTGGTCCACAACAGATTAGGGGAAAAAATGAACAAAAAACTGTCTTCCACTATAGATAGTTTTAGAAACACTGGTCTACACCAATTGAAAGATGCTTCTCCCCTGCTTTAAAATCCACTAGTGCTTCCTGTTGAACTTAGAATAACCTGAATTCTTGGAATAACCTGGCCCTACCCGCCCCACTGGCCCCTACCTACCTCACTGCCTATAACTCTCTTCCTTGTGCTCCAGCCACACTGGCCTCTTAACCTCATGGTGGCCTCAGGACCTTTGTATTAGTTGTCTCTGTCTGAAATACTCCGTCCCCATCACTCTGACATATGACCTGTTTTATTCACTCGTAACACTTATCCCTGTCTCGAACTCTTTCTTGATTTCTTTACTTGTTCAGCGTCTCTCTCTTCCTCAGAGTGTGAGCCCACGTGGGTGAGACCATGTCTGTCCCCACTGTGTCCACCTCCAGAGCAGAGCTTGGCAGGTAGCAGTGAACAAGACATCCTCTCCCGCATTTGCCTACATCTGCCACTCCTCCAGGTGAAGCTCACAATCATCTCTGCCTCATCTGACACCTACTGGGCAAAGAGAAAATTGCCCCAAGCAATTCATTTCCTCTAACGATTGTGACTTTCATATAGTTTCTCTCTTCAACAGACTCTACACTCTTTATCAAAAAACGCATCTTCGGGGGTACCTGGGTGGCTCAGTCGGTTAAGCATCTGCCTTCGGCTCAGGTCATGATCCCAGGGTCCTGGGATCGAGCCCCGCATCGGGCTCCTTGCTCACGGGGAGTCTGCTTCTCCCTCTCCCTCTGTCCCTCCCCCCTGCTCATGCTTGCTCTCTCTCAAGTAGGTAAATAAAATCTTAAAAAAAAAAAAAAAATACATCTTCTATTCTTTTTCTCTACCTTCACCAGATCTTGCACATCAATGTGCATAAAGTAGCTCAATAAACACGGTGTGGTCATCCTCTCATGCCATTAATTGGCTCGATATCTGACAGGGCTCGTCAATATTCCAATCATCTGAGAGTAGTCATTTGAGTGAAATGAACTGTCATTCTAGTAGGAAAAGCTTTAGTGATTGATTCAGTTTTCAGTAAGTCAGTGTCGTCATCAACAGGAACAGATAATTAGCAAGTGCCTATTCACTGGAGGCAGTGAGCAGGGGGCCAGCAGTGGGGACCCAGGGTAACGGTAGAGCGGGATGGTTAATGTTCCAGTCAGACTGCAGACTGGCTCAACTATTTATTAATAACTTAACCTTGGGTTCTCACTTAATCCTTGAAGCCTCGATTTCCTCATCTGTAAAACGGAGATGACGATGAGGAGGAGGAGGAGGAGGAGGAGGAGGAGGATGCCAGGTACCGCGGGTTGTCAAGAGGCTGTACGTGTGATGGTTAAGAACACACACTCTGGAAGACGCTGTCCAAGTCCAAACCCCATGTCCACCATTTACTAGGTACACAATCTTGGACAAGTTACTTACCTCTCTCTCTGCCTCCATTTCTCCATCTTTAAAATGGGGATAGTCACAGTGTCTGCCTGAATGGCTGTTGTGAAGGTAAAATGAGTTAATTCCTACAAAAGGCTAAGAAGAGCACCTGACAGGTGGTCAGCATTCATGAACTGTTGGCTGTTACAGTGATCACTGTATTTCATCAATTCTCAGGCAGATTTTTTTCCTCACATTTTAACATCTCTGAAATCATGATGCAATATTGCAATATTTAGTATCTTCCAGTGAATCCCTGCCATTTTCCCCATCTTTTAACATCTCTAAAACTAGGGTACCCCTGACAGCATCTTAGACTCTGTGCACTGAGCACAGCACTGGCCTATGGAAGACACTCAGCATTTATGTGATGAGCGAATGTCTGTGGACCTACAAAATAACATTCCTTTTTTTTTTTTTAAAGTAGGCAGCACACCCAGCGTGGAGCCCAACAGGGGCTCAAAGTCACGACCCTGAGCGGAGATCAAGAGTTGGATGCTCAACCAACTGAGCCATCCGGGCTCCCCATAACGTTCCATTTTCTACAATTTCTCTCTGTAGACAAATTCTGAAAGAAATGGATTTGATTTCTCCAAATATACAACTCCCCTACTACTGGAAATTAAAGATATTTCTTTTTTTTTTTAATTTATTTGAGAGAGTGAGAGAGAGAGAGAGCACAAGAGGGGGTAGGGATGCGGGACTCGATCCCGGCACTCCGGGATCATGACCTGAGCCGAAGGCAGTCGCTTAACCAACTGAGCCACCCAGGCGCCCAAAGATATTTATTTCTAAACAAAGATTTCTCAAATGTCTAAACACATAGAAACTTGCTAGAAACGATCTCCTCCTCTTAAGTTTTGAAATTTCACACTCTCGGAAGCAACATAATTCTAATATAAGACACATCTCACACCAAGATCCCACTATTAAAGAAAGTGACTATGTAGGTTCATGAAAAAGCAAAATGTTGGCTCACTGGTTAAAAAAAAAAAAAAAATCAATGAAGTAGTAAGATTTGATGGTTGTTTCTCTTGATTGTATTTGGGACCCTGTCCTGACACTCTGATGGACAGACGTACAGACAGGATCAAAGGGAACAATCTGTGTCAGACAGAATGTATGAGAAAATGTAATCACGGAAGAACACCTCATTTATCCAGACTGGAATAGATGCTTAAAAAGTGAAATTTCCAGATCAATAAGGTTTACTCCTTGAATGCGAAACTCTTCTTTATTGCCATCGCTGTGAGTGGGAATCTCTTCAAAACATTTTCTTTCTTCAGTTTCCTACCTTCCCGTCATGTTACTGACATGGCCTGCTGACCACCACCCACCACGCGGTTGTGCGTTCTCTAGCCCACCCTGGGGGCCGCCTGCCCGGCCTGCGCTCGTCGGTGGTGGCGTTGCTGCTGGTGTTGTCATGTTTTATATTTTCAGTTTCCTCGCCCACCGTGGGACTGTCACCTGCCACTTTCTGTTACTGCTGATGGGCCAAGTTCTAGAAGCTCCTTCTAACCAACAGCTCTGTTCTTAATAGGCTTTAAACCAAGAAACCTGATTACTAACTTTGTTAGAATTGGACTTGAAACACAAACAGATCCCTGAGTGATGGGCTTACCTATGAATAAAATGCACAAGGTCTGTAACATAAATACCATTTATTCCCAGATATAAGGCAATCTCCTATTTTCTCAAAAAGATCCTGAAGTTTTTAGATCCAAAAGTTTTTCATCAACGTCTACAGATGTGGAAAACTTGCCTATCTACGCTACTTATTTTATTAGTAATTTACTAAAGCACACATTTCAAATCACATGTAAAAACTACTACTTTGATAACAAAGCTTTTTTCCACTTTCCCACGTCATAACAATTTTATTTGAGCTCTTCACGTGCATCTGCAGCATCAGTGTGTTCTTCCTCACAAGAATAGCTTCTTGGTCTTAAAAATTTTACATAGCACACCATCTTCGGTTTGGCCTGAATTGTTTCAGATAATACAGCAGTTTTTAAATCATCTATGCTTCTGTCACTAAAATTCTATTCCAAGCCATAGCTAGTCAGTCACTCACAGACCACGGAGCAGCTGATCTGTTTTCATCTGTCCAATAAGCACAATGTGATCTGTAAAATACCACACGTCCGGTGCCATTTTCCAGTAACATCTATGAGGCTCATTTGTCCTGACATCTAACACAACTGTGCAGTCAGACCCCCAGGGATATTTCCTAAATGTGGGCCAACCATCTGCCTCCTTTTCTCTAGTTTCTTCTGGTGGCCTCTCAGCCTCCAGAACCAGCCCCGACAGAGGCCGGCTCAGGCGCGTGTGCTTTCCTAAACAGTGCTTTATTGTTCAGAAGAAAGTAAGCGAGCACCCTGTAACCCGGGAGAGACTTTGTGAGGATCCACATAGAAGGAGGTCGTTTCTCTTCAGAGGGATTATGCTTGGGGGCAACCTTGCCTTCTTGAGGCCAGAACGGAACGTTAACAGCAGCCGGACCCGGAGAGCGCCCCCTGCAGGGACCCGCGGTGAGGAAGGCCTGAGCCGGCTCTGTGGTTGGGAGCCACCCCCACCCGCCTCACCAGCCAGCCTGAAGGCAGGCGGCTTTACTTTCCTCACTGGCAGCCCTCCCCCATTTGGAGGGGACGAGAATGCCAGAAAAATATCTCCCAAGCGTGAAGTGGCTCGGTACCGTATATTTATATGTAACTACTCACTCTGGTGGCTACTGATTTTGAGAACGAAAACAAAGTATGTGTGAACTACAAGCTTTAAGACGAGATCTTAGATTGGCTCACAAATTATTCTACGTACCTCGTATTAGCTCATAAATATTCATGTCCATAAGTTCACATATTAGTGCAAGAGAACCAGATTTTCTGTCACTGAAGAAGAAAGCAGGTTTGTCAAAATGTTTTTTTCTTGTCGTAATCAGAAAATATAATCAAATATTTAATTCATCTGTAAACATTTCTGGTGGACATAAAGCACTCCCACATCAAAGGCTGAAGTGTCCTGACTGAAACAGAAGTTGTGATTTTCAATCAGCACTTCAGGTAAAATTCACTTAAAATAATAGTAAAACCTTAACTCGAAGCAAAAATTCTAAACACTTCCCCTCTTTTTAATGAGATGTGTCTTGAAAATATAAAATTAACTACCAGCAGGAAGGAGAAATGAGGTTGAGGAGTTGGCTAAGCAACACAGAGGAAAAAGAATTTTAATTCACGCTCCGTGACTGCAAATTATAATGGGGGAACAAAATCCACAAAGTGGTCAGGGGAAAAGGGAGAAAGACGGGTCACACCACGCCCATGTGGTGCCCAGGCCTTGCCCGGGGTGGGGACAGAGGCCGTTGGCCGAGCTGGCGCACCCCGGGCGGGGGGAGAATGGGTCGCGCAGGCAGCGATGGCCTCGGCCTGCAGTCTCCGGCCCCGGCCGCACTGACACTCAGGGCACCGCAGGCCGGGAGGCCACACAGCTGGGACAAGACATTCCACCCTGAGTTTAAGACGGCTCCGTCCTCTGATTAAAACCTGCCGCACTTGAACTGTCAGAGACCTGGCTGGGTTTAAAGCAGCCTGGAGAGCCTGAGAGAGGCTTCACCCAGCGTGCACCTTCTCGGGCCCACAGAAAGGCCGGTCCCAGGACGCTGGGTCCGAGTTCCTGGCTCAGAGATCAGAACTGCCGGCACCTGGGGACGAGCTGTGCTCTGCCTTCTTGATCGGCAGGTAAGCCTCAGGTAGGCTATTCTAGAATTAGAAGAGAAATGAAAAGTCCCCTGGATTACATCAACCACAGGAAGGCGGCAGGTCTCACGGCCCGAGACGGTGCAGGCAGACCAGCTGGCGGGGATACGGCAGGGGCAGCCCCAGCCAGGTGACGCCAGTCCTCTCCCAGGACGCCGCCACCCACACTGGAGGCCTCGCCCGCACAGGCCACTGTCTCCAGGGAAGCCTCCCTGAGCTACAGGAGGAGCCGTTTGAATTCTGTATGCTCTTGTGATACGGAGTCACCTAAATGAAGGCATTTCCACAGTAGGAATCAGTTATGCATTTGTCCAAGTAAATACATATGTGACTTAAGATAAAATGAAAATTATTACTCCCTGAGCCACAAAGCAAATATTTTAAACATCTAATCACGGTTTTCTTTCTTAAAAAGAGATTTAATCGTTCTTATCAAATTGAGGTAATTTGTAAAGCCCCAAATATACTTACAAAACCACTTCATGCAACGTAAGAATGTTAGGGTGTGGATTCAGGCGCCTCAGTGCTTGTATCTCCCGCAGATTGTTCACTTGCTCAATACTATTGTGTAGGTAAAAATAAATAACTAGTTTATAATTTAGGTCAATTTTCAATTAGGGTTATTCAATCATTATTTGTTACCCATGATCACAACCGAAAAACTCACAAATACTTCAGGCAAGTTAATTAGCTTATATTTCTCCCGTCAGCAGCTGAAGTTCAACCCGTCTCGTTCTACATTATTATCTGATAAAAACCAAGCTTCTTATAGGTTTGGACATATATTCAAATTTTCCCCATCTAAGCTCCTGAAAGAATACCTTGGTAGTTTCTTTTATAATTAATAAACATAGAAAAAGATTAAAATTTCCTATTAATCAGTTTCTGGGAACTAACAGGCTGAGCAACATGAATACCATCTGAAGTACCCATTTCAGATTTCCACGAACAGACTAGCCTTCCTCCTTGTCTTTAACGAATGCTGTACATGTTTTCAATTTCACTCAGCTGGTGACTGGTGTTCTCTTGGCAGCTGCGTCTACTGCTGGCTCTTCTTTATGGAGACTGATCTGCCCGGCACCGTGCTCACGTCCAAAGTCATGCCAATATGAGTGCAACAGAAGTGGACGGGCTGAGGCGGGCTGTCACCCCTCTCCACAGACCCCTTCCAAGAGACACGCCTCCCCATGGACGGGCCCCTGGTCACACCCAATCAAATGACTCGATCCCCCAGAGACTTCCATCTCCTAGACAAGGAAAGAGGCTGTGGGAAGAGTCTTCTTTCTTTGAACTGCAAGACTCTGTTCTACCACCTTTTCACACACAGTGTAAAGCTCAGCATCTGTTTGGTTCTTCAGAGAGCAGTTATGTCCAATAGCACACGATCACTACCTTATGTCAGTGGGAGTACTTTAAGTCTCTCATGCTGGCCGGCAAACAGGAGCCTGGTATACAGGAGAAGCCTGAACAATCTGAGGGTGAGGGTATTTCTGACTACAAGTTTCAGACTCCTTTTCCATTTACTTTCCCCGACGGCCTCCCTCGAGCCCGGGACGATGTGCAGAATGTTAACCACTTGTGCACCGTGGTCTGGTCACCAACCACCCAGAAAAGACACAGCCCGTAACACTGGAGCAAGGTCCCACGGAGGGGCCCCTCCTGACCCAGGCATGAACCTGTTAGTTCCGGAGAGAGGAGAGGTCTGCGGAGTGCTGGGCAAAGGGCCAGGTGGAGGGTGGAGGTGGGAGCAGGCAGCTCCCAAGAGGCTCAGGATAGCCATTTACCGCCCAGAATATGAGTCTTGCGCTATTCTAATAACCGTCATGGACGGCCATTCTGGCGTGTGCGGAGACCAGATCATGACACTCTCCATGCATTACGTCAGCTTAGTACTTACCCCACCACCTGCTCCTCACCAGCACCCTGGCCCGCAGAACCAGCCCCTCCCAAATGCCTTTAGAACAATGCTTCCCAAATACATCCCATAGAACATTCTTTCTCTAGAAAATGCTTCATGAAGGAATTTCATGTTCAGAAAATTTTGACAGAGGCCCACTCTAGCTCCTTTTGGAGAGCCATAATGTACCACTGATATTAAAAGCTTCCAAAAACCCTGCAAAATAAAGAAAACAGTTTACCTTTATTTAACCCAACATTTCCCAAACTTTTTTTGCCCTAGGATCCCTTCTTACATACTATCTAGTCACCGTCCCTTAGAACGAGGGTTCCAGAGAACACACCACTCCAGACCATCCTTTGAGTGGCACGATAGAAATACCTTTTTTTCATTAGCACAGGGAAGTTGAATAGGCAAAAGGCAAAAAAAAAAAAAAAAGATCAAGTGGAACATTCTTTTGGGGGCACTTAGGCAATTGATTATAGAGCATCTTTCAATCCCTGTCCCTGGGGTCTGCATTGGAAGAGACCACCAAAGGCTCTTGCTCAAGGTCCCACACCTTGAGGGCAGTCCCCTAACTCAGGCCTAGCTTGCTGAAGACCTCACTTCTACCTGGTGCCTGTCATGCGTCTACTGGTGGCTCTCATCTGGGAGGGACCTTGCCCCTCAGGGGATATCTGATGATGTCTGGAGATATTTTTACTCTCACAGGTTCTGTAGCGTACTCTACCCTGGCATTCAATGGTGGCAGCCAGGGAGGACACTCGATAGCCTACAACGCACAGGACAGGCCCCACGACAAATAATCTGGCCCAAATGTCAACTGTGCCAAGGCTGAGAAGCCCTGCTTTAGATGGAAAGAGCAAGAAACCAATGGAGCTAGCAACAGTTCTGATTTTTCAACACTCTGTATGAAAAAAAGTAGTTTTTAGAACTGGATAGTCAAGGGGCGCCTGGGTGGCTCAGTCAGTTAATCATCTGCCTCTGGCTCAGGTCATGCTCTCGGGGGCCTGGGATCGAGCCCCGTGTTGAGCTCCCTGCTCAGTGGGGGCCTGCTTCTCCCTCTGCCTCTGCCATTCCCCTCCTGTGATCTCTGGCTCTATCTCCCTGTCAAATAAATAAAATCTTAAAAAAAAAAAAAAAGAACTCTTATCATCATTAATATGAAAACTGGTTATCATACCCTGAAACATATTCTGCTTATTATGACATAATTCTTTCATGCCTCCACAGACATTTCACTCATAAATAATGAACTAATACATTTAGAAAGGCACTTTCATCTGAGCATCACTAGCCTTTGTTCAAATAACAATATTTTTATTTTAACAAAATACAAATCAACTCTGTTCTCTCTTTTTTTTTTAGAGATTTTATTTCTTTATTTGACAGAGAGAGAGCAGAAGCAGGGGGAGAGGCAGAGGCAGAGGGAGAAGCAGACTCCCCGCTGAGCAAGGAGCCCGGTGTGGGGCTCGATCCCAGGACCCTGGAATAATGACCCGAGCCGAAGGCAGCCGCTTAACCGACTGAGCCACCCAGGTGCCCCACAACTCTGTTCTCTCTTTTAAAAATCATGAAAAAAATATAAAAAACTGGAATTAACTGTTTTTGTCTGCCTTGGAGTTGCTTTGAATCTTGGGTCAGGGGATATTCAGGGTTTTGTTTGTTTTCACTGTCCTACTGGAGACAGAAACAATCATGGAATTGAAGGCCCAGGAGGACGGGCAGCCTCTGCTCCAAAAAGAACCAATGATGCCACCATAAACGGATTTTTTTCTACAACTGAAAAAAAATATAGTTACCAGGTCGAAGTATAAAAAATAAAAAATATTTAATTATTTTTTTTTAAAGATTTTATTTATTTATTTGAGACAGAGAGAATGAGAGGGAGAAAGCACATGAGAGGGGGCAGGGTCAAAGGGAGAAGCAGGCTCCCCGCCGAGCAGGGAGCCCGATGCGGGACTCGATCCAGGGACTCCAGGATCATGACCTGAGCCGAAGGCAGTCGCTTAACCAACTGAGCCACCCAGGCGCCCAAAAATATTTAATTGTTTAAATAATTATGCAATTTCAACATTCATTGTATTAGAAGTGTTTTTTTTTTGTTTTGTTTTGTTTTTAAGATTTATTTTAGAGAGGAAGAGAGAGAGAATCCATGAGG